AGAGATGTCTCAGGAATACACACCACAGGAAAATCTACTCTGAGTGGTCCATCAGTATCATCACTGGATTGAGATCTGTGACAGCCTAACACACCTCACAGAACCAGTGAATGAAGGAGGGCAGGAAATGAGGAATCTCCTGTGAGATAAGCTACTCTTTATTTGCCATCCTTGAGATCAACCTGAGTGCAGGTGACTCTGCCAAAGCAGCAGAGGACTGAATGCAGCACAGACCACATCACATGGACTGTTCTGTAGCTAATCTGTGTATTCCATCTGCTCATGCCTTCCAAGCCTTCCCCTGCTTGATTCTGGCACGCAAAGGAGGGAATTACTGTGATACTTTTGTCTGATAAAGGGACTGGAATGGACCTCAGACTGGAGAATCTTCCAGTATTTCCTCCTGCCTGGGTAACCTCACATATACCTAGTAATAGTTCTCAGGAAGAATTTCTTAATGGAAAGAGCTGTCAGGCATTGGAAGGGGATGCCCAGGGATTCCTGGTGGAGTCACCATCCCTGGAGGTGTTCAAGGAACAACTGGATGTGGCACTCAGTGCTCTGGTCTAGCTGACAAGGTGGTGATGGGTCACAGGCTGGACTCGATGATCTCAGAGAGCTTTTCCAACCTAAATGATTCTGCAATAAATTATTTAAATTTACCACTGACCTAAATGGCACCAACAGGGGAAGTAAGACACCTTCCCCAGCTGAGTAAAGACTAGACTTGCTTTTTGTCCAATGCTGCTTTTTCTGTTAACATTCTTTTTCCCCAAGCCTCTTTTATTACATTTTTACCCATGTCCATCTTCATTTAAGCAGTTCTGCACATTGCTCCCTCCCCCTGACAGTCTGCTTCTGGCTCCTCATCCTCCTGGCTGCACTCCAATGCCATACTAATTCTTCTACTCCTGCATTCATTTTCATTTCCTTCTTCCAAAGTCACTCCTTGTTCCCTGCCCTCTCTGTGTGCCTCTGCTCACTCCCATCCATTTGCTCCTGACAGCCCTCACAGCTCACCAGCTATTTCCTCACAATCTCCAGGTTTGTCTTCAGGACAACCTTCATATTAATCTTTTAAATTTTCTTTTCCTGTCATAAAAATCTGTCCACTGATCCTCTTGTGTTTTCAATCTCCTTCCTGGCCATTATTCTTCCCCCCAGTAAAGCTCTGTAGAATTATCTGCTGTCATTCCCTCCCTCCCCACGGATAACCTTCCCTTTCCAGTGCACATCTTTCAGGCTGATGCCAGTCAGACACCAGAGCCATCATTCTCTCTGCAGGCACTTCCCTCCAACAATGGCACTGGAATGAAGCAGGGAGAGGCAATCATTTCAGGGTTTATAAGAATAAACATGCATTGTTATCTGAGGCAAATTACAGCCCATTACAGGCAGTGCCAGAGCACCCTGCTCTTCCAGCATCTCTCTCCTGTCTGTCTCTTCCTTAAAATTATCCCATTTTAAATAACAGCAACAATCCACCATTCAAACTTCATGTTTCTGAGAGGTGTTTTAATGATTTTGATTACTGGAAATGTCTGTTAGCTAAGAGCAGCACAAGTTACATTTAGAGAATAATACCTCTAGTTAGGAAAAGCACAAGTTAGGTTCACACTGCTGCAACAACCACCCCACGGCTCAGTCTTTGCCCACAATTCCCTGCAGATGCAGTGGAACTTGTGTTCCAGGCTGGTTACTTAGAACAGCACAAGGCCAAGGCTGGCTGCTGCATGTCCTAAAGTGCGAGATGGTGTGACACCTGGAGGCACTGGGGATGCAAGGACAGCTCCAAAGGGCTCCAAGGTGAGGGGGTTGAATCCCTCCAAGTGCATCTAGTTCACAGAACCTACAAGGAGTATGTAAACCAAATTTTGCTTTGAATTACAACTAGTTGGATTTCAGTTTTGTCTTGAAGGCAATCCCTGAGTCCTCTCTGCTCTCACATTCTCATGACTCAGTAGGAACAGTTTGAGCAGCAGCACCTGAGAACAAGACAAGGACTAGGCTACTTTCCAGCACAGATGAGCCACAACAGCTACAGACATAAGGAATATCCCAATCCAACCATTTGTCCAGTAACAGCCAAGCAAGGGAAAGCTCATGCTGAAACTTCCCTCATCACCAAGACTGAAAGTCTCCCCAACCATGACTTTTGGTACTGTGTCCAGAATCTACCACTGCGCAGAGGCTACATGGCAAATCTGCTGCCATGGACCTTTAATTCTCCCACCAATGCAATCAGCTTACAGGGAGAAAAGTGATTAGGCAGAAACAGTTGTCAGCTGCAAAGTTTACCATTTCCTTAAGGAATCAATAGAGATGGGCCTGGGAACCAAACTTCCATGTGCACCAAGAGATCCCTGTTGAGTCTGCACTTATATCCCCTGGATCAGTGTAACTCAACATTTCTGAATGCCATAATCCCTGGTTTATGCATGGTCTGCAGCATCCTTTGTTTTTGCATTTGAAACTCCATGTTCCTATTAGTACTGTGATCTAGGAACTGATCCATGGGAAAGATCTCCACACACAGCTGTTGTCTGCAGTGTTGCAATGTGAACATTATCACTCTGAAATGTTTTTCTTTCCCAGAGCAGGTGCAGGAGGTGCTGTGGCAGCACTATGACACTCACTGTGGCATCAGCTCCACTCTGACAGCCACACTAGGAACTGCAACCAAAAGAGAGCACAGGGAGATGAACCCCAAAGACCAGGAATCCATTTTGAACTGGATTCCACTCCCTTCAGACAGTGCCATTAGTGTGTGACATCCCTACTGAAGGACCACAGGGATATCCCACCTCCAGGAGGAGATGCCTGCACAAAACTGCTGCACACCCAGACATGGGGAATCAAGTCCTCTTACAGGTTCTGTAATACAGATGTTTGCTAAGAATCCTCTTTCTTGCACACAAATGCTTCTCTGTGCTGAGGTGACAGGGAAGGTGACAGCTCCTTGGTGAGGCTGGGCTTAGCCTGGAGAGGAATTTGTAGGTAAATCATTCCAAATAATACAAAACCCAACTCCCAACACTAGTAAACATCTATATAGTTTTTAAAAGGACTTCTTACAAGGTGTGTTCCTACTCCTCCCAGACCCTCCAGGTGCCCCCAGGTGTGTCCCTATACCTCCTACACAACTCCAGGTGTCCCCTAGACCCCCCCAAATGACCCCAGTTGTGTTCCTACACCCTTCAGGTGTAGGGATATAAAACCAGCAGGAAAGAACCAAGATGAACTCAATCAACAATTACTCAGTGAAGATGTAACTTACAAAATCACCACCTGATCAATAGCTTTGATCAACAATAACCAAAGGGATTATTACATCAAAATATAACAATTTAAATATGATTCTTATTTATTCCAAGAATGTTTTATCCTTAATGATATTCCAAACCCTCTCTGCCCTGCATTCCAGTAGCGTTCACACTACATTATTAGTGATGCTAATATATGGTCACAGCAGAATGATTTATATTCTGCTCTACCTCATTCACTAATTGATTATTTCAAGTTAATGATGCCGATGCTAATGAGACATCAGACAGAGTGAGAGGGCAGAGCACTAGATATGAAAGTCAGGGAAGCAAAACTGACATGGTAATATTGACAAACTTCTATGGACTCTTTGCTGAACGTGAACAAGGAACACAATTTGAGAAAACATCCATTCTTGTTACTGCTCAAAAATGCTAAATTGAAAATCATTAAGAATTAATATCCCAATGATCCTCAGGATAGATATGACAGGAGGTGCAGTATGTGCAATAGTGGCTTCTCTAACAAAGCAGCTCCATCATTCCCTAGCATTCCTCAGGACAAACTCTTGATTCCTAGGGCTGCTCCTGTTTCCTGTGTCTCTGCTCCTTGTTGTGAAACATTCCATCCTTCACTTTGGCAATTCCAGTTGCCAATTCCATACATTCCAGGCTCTGAATTAAAACATCCAACAGCAAGCAACCCAACAGAGATTTACATTAGCAGGTCCCCTGGCAGAAACCAACCCTGGGATTCAGGTTTGTGTCACAAAGCAGCAGAGGAATGCTGTAAGACACCTGCCCCACCTGGTACACTGCACTTGAGGCATCCCAGCACCCAGCTGACCCCTCAGCACCATTCCCAGGCCATGGTGGCACCTACAGCTTGACCTGTGAGTCTCCAGTCACATTTCAGGACAGACTGCAAAGGGAAGCGAAAAGCCACATGATGCTTCCTCTGCATCTGCACATATTGTATCACCTCCTCTGTGTGTTCAGCAGTGGAAGATAACAACCCTTACAATTCCAATTACATCTTTGTCATCATTCTGATTAGGTGTCGTGATCAGACGTAACATCTGTGTTTGCTGGAAACCCTCACACTACCGTGGGTGTTAGCATTGTAGTGCTGTACCCAGGAGTGCACCAGGGAGCAGCCAGGCCTGGTCAGCTCACACCACTGACAGCTCATGGACTGAAAGGCAGAGATTGTGACAACCACGACCCAGACACACCTCACAGGGTGTAGGTAACACAGACACGGGGTTAGACACCACAGAAGCCAGTTAAGATTCAGTTTTGGTTAGTTTCTACAGATATGATAACTTGGTTCCAGCACAAAATGATGCAAACAAATTTCAGATTGACATGCTGTCAAAAATTACATGTTAGGTGCTGATTAAATTCCTCCCTGTGAGGGTGGTGAGACACTGGCACAGGGTGCCCAGGAGCAGCTATGTCTGCCCCATCCCTGGGAGTGTTCCAGGCCAGGCTGGATGGGGCTTGGAGCACCCTGGGCTAGTGGGAGGTGTCCCTGCTCATGGCAGGGGGTGGGATGTGAAGAGCTTTAAGGTCCTTCCAAGTCAAACCATTCTGTGATTCTATGATGTTCTAAACTACTGTGTTACATGTATTTCAGTCATGTATGTGTTAGACACTTGTCACCTCTTTCATTTTGCTTCCCTTGCTTCTCTCAGCTGTGGAATAACACCTAGTTTAGGGGCTGACACTAACCCATCACAGCAGAGCTCAGGATGTGTGACTGACACAAGCTAGTTGTGAACAACTACCCAGGGTCAGGAATTGTGTTGAAATAAGGAGACTGGGTAAAAACTCATCATCAGGAGAAAAAAAAAATAAATTGAGTCTTTGGATTTTATTGGTTCTACTAGTAAAAGCCACAAAAATAAATCTGTGCCATGGATCATGTCCTGTCAAACTCTACATAGTCCACAGATAGTTGTTGCAATTAGTGAGACCAGTCTGTGTCAGCAGTTCAGCACTGCAGGGGACCACAGTGCCACTGAATTTGTGTCTGTGGAATTTGTGGAACAATGTGAATGAACAGACACTTGGAATAAAGCTCTTCACAGAAATGCATTTGAAGGTGAGGTCCAACTCTACACCTATTAGGTCAATGACTGTACAGCTTCAGGCAAATTGCTTCCTTAGCTGAACCCACTCCCAACTTTCTAAGCTCCAAGAAGGCACAATCTAGCCTAGGTGCTCCAAAAGCTCTTTGGAAACCCTTTTATTTCACCAGTGAGTACATCCAGAGCTTGGGGAGAACACAAGGCTGACACAGGCAGCTGGAAAGTGAACTGCAAGTTGAGTGATGTGACATTCCCATACCAAACCTGATTTTCAGAGGTGCTGAGTCACCTTTTGGGGCCTAAATACACATCTGTTCTCCCTGAGAACTGGGATTTGAACATCAGGAAGGCATTCCTCATGACCATTTACCTTAACAGGCAGCATCACTGTAGTCCTAATCTAAATTGTGTTGTTTGGGATGAGCAGAAGAGCTGCATCAGCACAGCAGTAGCACAGCACTTACATTCACAACAGACTCCTTGAACTTGATGTGCAGTCTGTAGTTGGAGAGAGCAATGATGGCATCCTCTGCCCGGCCCACGTACTCTGTGCTCTCCCCGTGCAGCTCGATGAATGGCACCTGGGAACAGCAAGGAAAATCCTTCAGGAAACACTTCCCAGGAACATGTCCCTCCTGCAGCACACAACATCCTAAACAAATCTGAAACCTGCTGACAATTCAGCCATGCTGTTCCTGCTAAGAGGGAAGTCAGGTGAGGTTGGCTCAGAGGTTAATTGTAGCCTTTTTTCTTGCTGATTCCCCATTTTCTGTTCCTTTTCCTTATGTTCCCTGTCCTCAGTGCTTGGCAAGGGAAAGCAATGGATTTTTATGAAGAATTTCCCCACATTTTGGCAAGCAGGCTGAGCAGGCCCCTGAGTTATGCTCTCTCTCCTTCCTTAATGCAGAGTAGCACTTCCATAATGTTATTAAATTGATCCTAAAGTTGGCAAAACATCCAAGATTAATAATCTTCTGAGGTATTTCCCAATATCCATAGGGGGAATAGATACCTAAAGAGTGGATACCTAAAATGCTACACAGCTGAAGGGAGTTCCTTTTTCTCACTGCAAACATGAAAACTGCACAACATGCTCCTGTTTTAGGCAGTTAGAAAAGCTGGAGCTGCATTACACTGCACATAAAAACTGCAACTGTTTACTTAAAAATGTGGCTTAAGCCCATCTTAGTTGAGCTGGGTGAAAAGTAACTGGCCAGGAGAAGCCACAGAACCCACAGGTCAACTGGAGATACTGTGATCTTAGCTGGCATGAGCAGTGTGGTGATTACCTGAAGGTTCTCATCCTCCCGGATCAGCTGCTTCCTGGGAAAAATCTGATTAGCCTGGATGCATTCAAGGCTGTGCTGAGTCTCTTCATCCTGAGAACAAAGAGTTACAGTCACCTGCAGCTCTGTCACCTGCTCTCACCTTCCCCACACATGAGCTATCAGCAGCCACAGGAAAGCTCACACAGGATGGAGCTTTCAGAGAATTCAGGGATCAGCAACTGACTTAAGTTTCTAAACTTTCAAAGAGAAGCACTCAGACAACCGAATATGATATTAGAAAGTGGTTTCCCTTCCTGCAGCCATTAAAAACCAGCAAGGTTTGTAGCAGCATTAGGAAAAGCATCAGCCTAGCCTAGCACTACACTGAAAACTCAACAACCCTCATGGAAACAGGAATTCCCTGAAGTTTTCCAGATTTTAGAGTCTTCTGGCCTGTATCAGACCCTGCAAACCCCTCTGCTTACCATGACAGGCCCTGGATGGGAGGAGGAATCCTCGTCTGCACTCACAATACTTTGAGGCTCTTCTCGAAATCTAGAAAACCAGAAAAGAATAACAATGAAGTTAAATTCATTTTCTTTCAGCAAATCAATACAAATTAATCTGCAAGGACTGAGAATGGAGCTGTTCAGAACCTGGGAGCAAACAGTAATTATGAAAGGATGAAATCCATGGAAGCTCAACTCTCCTGGGAGCTAGAACTGTTTCCAAATGTGTCTGACTCCTTCTGCTCACTGTGAAAAATCACCTCTGAAAGTGCTGCTGGGAGAACACCTGTCTGAGGCAGCAATTACACCAGTGTTTGTATGGTTTCAGTTGAAACATGTTCATCTTCCTACATCCCCTGGAATTTTCTCCCAAGTCATTTGCAGATGGTGAATCACCAATATGAGGGCTGTAAATCCAAAGGATCATTGGGATCATTTAGTCTGACCTGTTACGAAACATGAGCTGTTCGATCCTCCTGGAGCAATCTTGGTTCATCTATAGCCTAGGAACTGGAATTCTTGTTCAGATAAAAATCCTCATTTTATAGTTACAACTCATTTTTTATGTCCATGGATGTATCAGGATATCCACTGACCTGTCCAGGAGCTCCAGATCACTACACACTAGTGACTTCTCTCTCCACTACCCAACAATCCCAAATCTTTGACCAGCAAATCTCCTGGAAATATTAACAGTCTTGAGCTCTATGCAAATCACCCAATTAGGAGTTTAATGGCTGAAGTGAACCCAGGAGTTACCATTGGATTTTATCTTACACTCAACTTCTCAAATCCAGGAAAGTTCTTCCTTTTTTTACCAAACCAGGACTCACTCACGTATCTCATGGGGTTTGCAGACTGTGGCACAGAAAGATACAAACAGAATATATCCACTCAGTTCTCAATTCATGGCACTTCACCTAGAAATGCATTTCAAATTATCAGTGTGGAGGTTGACAGAGAAAACTACTTCAATCCATCAGCTCCCAGCACTGCAGGAAGCCCTAAATACATCCTGGGCATTGTATGGAATGTTGACAGCGGGAAAAGGAGCAGCAGATGCACGTCGGGGCCTGCACGTATGTCTGTTTGCATATAGTCATATCAAAGGAGGAAACTGGGAGCAGAGTGGAGCTGAACTGCCACTAATTCACTCAAAATTAGTACAAAAAGTAGGTATAAAATCCTAACTTCAAACAAGTAAGAAAAACAAAAGCTAGAAGACTTGAGAGAAGTGTGAATTTATTGACTGTGGAAACTGATAAGGAAGAAGAAAACAAAAAAGCATTGCAATTTCCATTCCTGCAACAATGGGGAGGAGGTACATGCTTTAAAGTTACGAGAAATGAAGGAAATCTAGAAATGCTGTCTCCCACCAGCACAGTGAAGACAATATTATTGTTAATATTGTTTGAAAAATCAGGATTATTTAACAGTTTTGTTCAAAAGCAGCAGGGGAAAAAGATGGTTGAGATGTAATCCATGTTGTGACTGAGAATATCATCCAAGAAGCACAGGGATTAAAGCTTTACAGACCATTAATTCATCAGGGCTGATCTTTAATGTATTAGAGACCATAAAATTCTAGCCCTTGTATTGAAAGTTGGAGTTGTTCAGCCTGGAGAAGAAAAGGTCGTGTGGAGATCTCAGAGCAACCTGCCAGGAGCTGAACGGGCTCCAGGGAAGCTGCAGAGGACAGGACAGGGTTCCCTCAGGTTCCTACCCCGTTCCTTGGGTAGGAACTGCAGGGACAGGACAAGGAGCAATGGGGAGAAATTGCAAGAGGGAAATTGAGATGAGATCTTAGGCAGAAGTTTTCCCTGTGAGGGTGGTGAGACACTGTCCCACGTTGCCCAGGGAGGCCGTGGCTGCCCCAAGCCTGGCAGTGTTCCAGGTGAGGTTGGAGGTGTTCCTGCCCATGACAGGGGGTGGGATGTGATGAGCTTTAAGGTTCCTTCCCACCCAAACCATTCCACATCTACAATATAAAAATGCCTCATTATTTCAAAAATCTCCTCCTGCTTCACACACAACTATCAAAGAAACATGATCTAACTAAACAGATGAGCTTTATCACAAATCTGAAGTGTGCTTAGTATCACTGAGCAATTGTTTTTAGTCTATTAGGCACTGTCACTGTGCTGGCCAAAACTTTCTTTTATACTTCAGATTGATGAGATATATTTACTTTTAAAGTTTATTATATAACCACCTACACATTAATCAAGTCAGTAATAACTTAGAAAATCAAGCCTTTTAAAACCCTTTACAGCTCTGCTCCTAAAACTCAGCCTAAACCACTAGCAGAGACTATGCAATTCCTGCAGACCAAGTTTCAGTGTAACTCCTGCATTCAGCTGCTTCCATCACAATAATGGGGCTTTTTCCATGAATGTGAGAATATTCCTATTTAAGGTGAACTTTGGGAAAGCTGTGTGGAAAAAAATATGAGTGTTTCAGTTTTAATCAGGATTATCAGATACAAACTGTGATGCTGCCAAGATAAACGGTACAAGGAGCTATCAGACTGGTTCTAAACCAAATAGTTTGCACACTCACAGTGCTGCTAGTGAAATGCTTCACTGACTTTGCTGCCACCACACTGAAGAGCTCTTAAAATTGCTGATAAAAATAGCAAGAAAGACTGAATTGTTCTAGTGAGGTTCACTGATGGACAGTGAGTACACTGAAAGAAGTAATTCCTTTCCCATCATGTCCACAAGCTGTTCCCACTTCCCTCATGATCTCATGGTCACTGGGCTGAGCACAAGGGGAAGGAGACAGGGAGAGGACCACACACTGTGCTCAGTGCAGCACACACAGACTGGGGGGATGAGCTGACACCACACTTCAACCTCCACTTCTTCCTACTGCAAAGCTTTCTCATCCACTCCGAGGGTAGAAACTCTTCCAGGCCAGCCACTGGAGCAGAAGGATCACAGGGACTGTGTGACACCTTGTAAGGGTAATTCCTGACTTTCAGAGCACACCTTAGAAGTGAGAACAAGAACATTCTTCCTATCACCAAGTCCAACAAGGCGCTCTTGACCTGTCCCCACTGTGCTGCTCTAAGGGACAGCTTGGTCCAGAGCCAGAGCAGCACCAGCTGGCTGAAAAAATCTATTCTCAACTTGACCCACACCTTTTTTTTGGATGAGCTGCAGAAATGGAATGAGAATTCCCATTTTAACTGTCAGCTCTTCCCTGCCAGCAAAAGCCATTTCCCAGAAATGAAAAGGGAATGTTCAAATTGAGCTCAGACAATAAGTGACCAAGAAAACACTGTCAGGAAAGCAGCCCCAAACCCAGGCTCCTCCTTATCACCAGGATCATATACAAACAGCAGAGAGCTAACACAGTGCAGTGAAACTTGTTTGGATAGTTAGAAATAATATTGGGTTTGGTCAGATTGAGGCCTAAAAAGGTTATGTTATCAATTTCCCGTGCTGCCCTTTCACCTGCAATCTCATGTGCATTAAATTGAACAAAAAAAAAAAGAGGTTGTTCTTGTTAATTCTCCATCCTTACGTTCTGCTTGGAAGGAGAAATGATGAGCAAAGGTTGTAACCTCACACTCTGTTCAGCCTCTGTGGGAACATCTTAATTACCTTTTGTTTCAGATGTGCCTTCTGGTCTAAATTATGTACATAATTAAGACTAGCAATAACCATCTGTTTGCCAGTGATTCTGAACAACAAAGATTAGATAAATAAAGCATCATTGAAATTCACATACAGTTGGATTTATAGCAAGAAAAAAGAAAAACTAGAGGGGGAAAAGGAAAGAGGAAGCACCCAGGAGTTTCACTTTGTTCCTCTGCCTTCCCTAGACAGATCCTGAATTCCACTTGTTTTAATGTCAAAACCAAACTGAGTTGACCCCTGAGCTGTTTACATGCTGTGGGGCACAGCTGCCCTGTAAGTCTGAGACTGGAATACAAAGGTTTTGGCAGAGAAGCAGTAGAAAATCCGAGAATGAAACATTCCAGAATGTGATCTAGCTTGAGCAAAAGATGCTTCTGTTGCAAACTGAAAACACTTCTTCCCCTTTGGCAGGTGGAGAAAAGTTTATGAGATAAGAATAAACACTTGGTTTCCCTCATTTCAGTCCCTGGCAGCAAAGCTTCTCCTCTTTCCTGGCACCACATGCAGAAGGAACTGAATAGAATTTACTGGGGAAGCAGCTGACAATATGGATATTTGACCATTATTCAGGAAAGGAGCAGGACAAAGAATCATGTTTGAAGATTAAGTCTTTTTTTTTTAGCAATTAAAGATTGCAAACTCCAACTCAGCAAAATATTGATTTTTGTCTAAGATCCTGGAAAACACTTTAACTGATTAAGAAAGTAATCAATGCTAAGTGCAGAATCCTCCTTACCAGGCAGCTTTGTCTTACCAAAGAACGAGAGAATAAATCGGTCCTCTCTTGTCCCAGAAAGTTCCAACTATTGTCTTCTGCAACTTCACATTGGCAGCTGCAAAGAAAAAGAAAAGTCCTTTAAAATATAAACCTTCATCTGGAAAATCCCTTCTGAAACAGCAGCTGAGGCAGGAGGCTGCACTGGTAGTTTAGGCTGGCTTAATTAGAAAGGAAAAGTAAAAAGTCTAAGTGCTATGTAAGTTGTAACTGCAGCTTGACATGCCCAGAGAGGGATTCCATGGCTGGATTCTGAGGGACACAAGTGTGCTGGGTAAGGTCTCTTCTGGTAAGAGGCAGCTCTGAAATTGTGGCCATTAAACAATGCAGATTTTTTTAAAAAAACAACTGCAAAAAACTCAGTTACAGAATCCCAGAATCACTGAGGTTGGAAATGGCCTCAGAGACCAACAAGTCCAACCTGTTACTCATAATCACCTGTCAACCAGACCAGAGCACTGAGTGCCACGTTCAGTCGTTCTGTGAACACCTCCAGGGATGGTGACTCCACCACTGTCCTGGGCAAACCCTTCCAATGCCTGACAGCCCTTTCCATGAAAAAAATTTCCCTAATATCCAACCTGAAAGCAGATGAAGACCCCAAACAGTGGTTGCTGCCTATGTACA